CACTCCAAAAATACAAGTGAAATAATACTAAAGAGAGAAGATACAAATGCCTTAAACAGCTGAGTAAGCCTCCTTTTATAGGAAAAAGTTTCCCACCAAATCCTTAACCCACCGATGTGGGATGGAAATTTGACATATAATTCAACACCCTTGACTTAGGAAAGATAAAGGAAAAGAGCAATAATAAGCAAACCAATACGACAACCGAAGCGAAAATACAAAATTAACACTAGATAAGGCAATCATTACATAGTAGAAAGCACACCAAAAAAGAAAAACTGTGAAGTTAAAAGAAAAAAAATTCAATCTGTATTGACATTTGTCCTCTCGCCTGCTTCCTTGAACAAATATGCTGCTCTTAGTGACTGTGCATGCGCCCTGATCTTTCTAAGAATAGCTACACGCTCCAGTTCTTCTTCATAATCTGTACTAGTATGTCCAACCACAATATTTGGAATATGTTGGAGTTTGTGCAAATCTGAAGTTTGAAGCCTTGCAATAAATGCTTCAGGCATTCCTCGAATCTCCAGCTTCTCAAGGTTGGTCAATGATATCAACTCTTCTGGGAGCATCCTCAACGAATAGCATTTGAAGATTTGCAGGCACTTGAGTCCTGGCATTGCACCTTTTCCTAGGTTCATTTCTTGCATAGACATTAGTTGATCCACCCTGAGAAACTTGAGTCCACAAAACCCATTCTCCGATATTGTTATACTGTCATCTAGCTCATGATCAAAAGCTTGAATTAGTTTTAGAACTGATAGGTTTGTTAACTTCTCCAACGCCAGGATGGAATCTGGGTGGATCTTGGAGTTGACCAAAGTCAGCTGGCGAAGATTAGGTGGAAATACACAAGGATGAGTTGGCAGGGAGGTTAGTCGTCCCTTCACCTTAAGCTTGACAATATGACTCAACTTAGATAAACCAGCAACCAAAGATATCTGCAAGCTATCCTCTACTTCCAAGCACAAGGATTGGAGGCTCTCAAGCTCCGCTAGATAAAAACATAATCGATCCATGTCTAGGTTATCATCTCTTTCAATGAATAAACCAACTTTTCGGAGATTAGTCATTCTTGTCAGGTTTTCATTGTGCATCCAGTGATGAACAGGTATGCTGCCTAAAGTTTGGAGATTGTTGAGTAGGTCAATCTTCAATACGCTTGGGGAATTTATATAACCAAGTAGATGCCGTAAATTCTCTAACTTCCACAAGACATTAGGAACCAGCACAGAATAATACCTAGACATGGGCATATCAATCGTTTCCAAGTTTTTCAACTGACTTATCGAACGGGGAAGCTTCTTTATGCGTGTCTTCCATCCTATGCCTAAGTACTTCAAGGAATATAGTTTTCCGATACTATCTGAGATAACTTTTAAACCAGGAGAGTCTATGTATAGCACTTTGAGAAGTTTGAAACTACTTTTACAAATACAATCAAGGTTAACTACTTTAGCAGATGAATCAAAGGATAGAAGGGATCTTATATATGATTTTGAATTTCCTAAGTATTTGTACCTCTCAATTGGACAGTAAAGGACATGGTGTCGAGGTTCAGACAGGGGTATAGACTGATTATCTACTTTCTCATGGACCTCGAGAAATATTTCTTCCTTTGCTTTCATGATACAAAAGTCTCGCAGGAGATCGTGGAGCCGGCAACTTCTAACTCTGTCATCTGCTCTAACTTGGATCACTTGAACCATATTTCTGCAAATGAGCTCATCAAGATAATCCTCAGCAATGTCCTCTAATTCTTCTTCTCCCTTCTGATGAACAAGACCATGGGCGATCCATATGTGCATTAGTTGCTGCACAGGGATATCTTTGTCTTTTTGGAGAAGGCCTAAGTAGAGGAAGCAAGATTTCAAATGGGGAGGTAAGTCATGATAACTCAACGCCAGAATTGTTGATACGCCATAAGTTTGGCTTCCAACAAGGTGTGAACCGAGGTTTCTTCGTACTCTCTGCCACTCACTTCTTTGCTTCTTCTTCCCAGCTAAGAGGCCTCCTATAATAGTGATTGCCAGTGGCAAGCCATCACATTTTTCCAGAATCTCTTTCCCAATGTCCACCAAGTCCTGTGGACACTCTCTATCCTCGGCAAATGCTTTCTTCAGAAAGAGTTCCCAGCTCTCCTCTTCGTTCAATACTTTAAGTTCATATGGTATAGTATGGGAATCTGCATGCAAAGCAACCTCCTTTATGCGGCTGGTAAGTAGCAATCTACTTGACTTATCATTGTCAGGAAATGACCTAGCAAGAAGATCCCATGCTTCTGTGGTCCAGATGTCATCGAGAACAATGAGATAGCATGTGTCTTCCAAGCGCCTATGGAGCATTTCCTCCAAGCCAGCCTCTGACAGTTTGTCCATCGTTTCCACTATCCTCACTTTATCTTCTTCAGGATTTGCCAGTTGTAAAATGAGTTCCTTGATGATCTTCGCAGGTTTATAATCTTGAGATACATAAACCCATGCCCGAGTGTCAAACTTGTCTCTGATTTGAGTTTGGTTATAAACTTCTTTGGCAAGAGTCGTTTTACCAATGCCTCCCATACCCACAATTGAAGCAACACGGAGCCGTTTGTCCTCCTTCAGAAGGATTGGTACAACAGAATTCACATGCTTCTCTAGGCCAACAGCATCCTTATTCGCAACCAAAGGTGAGGAGCGTCGTAGTTCACGCATCTTCTCCCGTGTTGTGCTAAATCCTTCCCCGAATCCGAGCCCTTGAATATGCCTGATTCCATATCTCTCACGGCTGTTGGATATCTCAAGAATTGTGGTCTGGATCGATTCAATCTCTTTCCCTACTCTGTAAAGCCTGTATAGTTTCTTAGGATAGAAGGCACACTTGATGAAGAAGCTCTGTCGTTCTTGAGACTCGACTTGGTGGATGAATATTTCAGTCACATCCTCAGCATGGTAGGCAACTGCTCTGATTTCAGATACCCAGTTGCGGACTGTTGCAGCTTCTTCTTCCTCTTGCTTCATATCTGCATCTTTCAGGAAACACTTCATACGGACGAGCTCGTTTCGAACTCCTTCAACTTCTTGTTGGACACTTTTCAGGAAAACAATTTTTCTTTGGAAAAGATCAATAAGCCGCTCTGCAACATACGAAACTGCTGCTTCAGCCATCTCTTGTTTTCTTGGCTCCTTAGTTATCTGGATTAAAGTCTTATCTAACTATGTGTTTCTTGCTGCAATGTACTTTAGGGATACTTTACTTGATCAGGCATGGCATCTTCTTTCTTCTCTCTACCTTTGTGCTTTGAATAAAAATTAGGCTAAATTACGCTAAACATCCCTATAATATCACTAAGTTTCAAGCACACCTTCTGCATTTCTAAAACCGATACTTTATACCCCTGTACGATGGAGATTCTACACAACATTAACACCGTTAGTTATCTCACTTATTTCAAATCTATACTCCATCAGGTCCACAATAAGTGATCATTTTACCTTTTTATTTTGGTCCATTGATCCAAAATAAGTGTTCATTTACATAATTAAGAAGAAATTAATTTTATTTTTTCAATTTTGTCCTTATTTACGTATTCCAATATGCCAATGTAACAATTAATTAAAGTTAATTTAGTGAATACATTTTTTTTTCTCTAAGAGTTTGTATTTCCCTAATGGCTGTACTAAAGGTAAAATGGTCACTCGTGGACAGGAGGGAGTAATAATCTATGAATGGACAAAGATGTCGTATCTCCATTCTCATCCACCGTTTACATCACTAGAAAAAGTTAAGACAGAAGCGCACTAGATATAATAAATGATTATCTTCAATTCTACCCATGTTTATGAACAAAATCAACCATGGTGATATTTACAGGAAATCATCTTGCATTTGAGTTAGATAAGAAGTCTTTAATGTAATAGTTTGAAATGGCAACAGTATAATAGTTTGTTCAATAGATCTCTCATTCTTAAGATAATATTAGTTCAGATTTACTAATTCAAACGTTTGTTCAACAGATTTGATCTAAGGAAACTAACGCCAAATATTGGATTAGTGGACTAGAAAATGCCTTCGGTACTCATAAATAAGAGACTCTAACGGATCAGTGCCGGTGTTATTATAGGTTTGAATAAGAGACTTTAACAGATCACTACCAGTGTTAATGTTTGTGTAGGATTTTCATAGTATAAGGGTATTAAGCGTTTGATTAAAAAATATGAGGGTGTGCTTGAAATTGAATGATATTATAAGGGTGTTTAGCATAATTTACCCTATAAATTAAAGGTTACCTCGGCAGTCGGCAGGCCAGCTGGTTTATTTGTTTTTTTGCTTTGTTTATTGTGCCCTGGCCCCTGGTGTTCCAACTTCAAAAAAAAATAAAGCATGGACGTACATTTATTTTCTTTTTTTATTGGTGGTGCTCTTCACCGACATTTGTATAATTGTATTGTATCAAAAAAGAAAAAGTAAAAAACAAAGGTTCAAAACGACAAAACCAAAAAGTTAGAAGAACAGATAAGGAGCATCCTATGAAGTATGAACAATCAACGGCACAATTTTCGAAACTTTCTAACGCTTGCCGCTGCCACTAGGGTTCTCCCAAAAAATCAAAGCAGCTGTTACCTGCGACTCCTGTCCTCGGCGAGTCCTCACCTCGGCAAGACCTCAAGTCTTCAACATCTTGCTGGCAGGGGCGGATTTGCCCTATCCCTCTCTGTTCTCTCCGTCTCTCTGTGACTGGATTTTTCAAGAAAGCAGCAACTTCTTCTCAGGTTATGGATGATAAATTTGTATCAGAGCTTTCTGTCCCCGAAAATGTTACCAAAACATTATTACTTGTGTCAAACTCAGCTTCTTTAGAAAAGGCACTTGAGAAGCTGATAGAAATTGCCAAAGTTCCTGATAGAAGGTTTGATCTGTCCACTAAGAACGTTGTCACCGCTGTTCTCCAACTCTGTCGGTCTCTGTCATCTCCCTCTTGGCGTTACCTCCTTTTATTGTCTCTTAAGGCACTTAGAAACATGTGTGCTGGGGGGATAAGAAATCAAAATGCCTTTTCTTGAACAAAGAGGAGTTGAAACAGTCATGGATGTTATTACCTCTGTAGGACATACCATTGATCCTGATTGTGAGCAATTATCCGAGTGGGGCTGCAACTTCTGGGAAACTACTCAGTAGCTGGGAGAGAACACCAATGTGATGTGTGGTACCAATTGTTTCCTCATATTTTCTTGAAGATTGCTGGAGTTAGTAGCAGAGAAATATGTGATCCTCTATGTATGGTCATTTACACTTGCTGTGAAGGTACTGATGGACTGCTAACAGAGTTAAGTTCGGAGCAAGGGTTGCCGATTCTTAAAGAAATCATATGTACTTCATCAGCCGGTAAATGCCAGTGAATATTGTCACTCTAATGTATCCCAAAAAAAATATCTTTTTCTTATTTGGTAGCCATGATTGGCTTATGGTTTCATACCCTTTTGCAGTTGGTCTCAGAGAAGATTGGTTGAAGTTGCTTCTTTCAAAAATTTGCATCGAAGGCTCCTACTTTTCATCAATTTTCTTCAAGTTACATTCACATCCTTGTGTTGAGAACAATGATATTATTACACATTTGGCTTACCATTGTTAGTGAGCAAGCTCATCTGTTGAGTATCCTTTCAGAAATCTTGAATGAGCAATTAGAGCATATTGTTGTTTCACATGTTTTTGCTTTAAGTATCTTTGGGATATTGAAGAGCGCTGCAGTGGTTGTTGACTTTTCTAACAGGGAAAGATGATCTTCCGACGGGGTCTGCTCCTACTGATGTTCTAGGATACTCACTCGTGATCTTGAGAGATATTTGCGCTTGTGGTCACCTGGCAAGCTCTAGGGAGGAAGGTCCTAAGGATGTCGTGGATATATTAGTTTCCTCTGTGCATATTGAACTTCTTTTGGACTTACTTCGAAATCGTGAACCACCAACGAGAATTAGGAAAGCAATGACACAGGATCAGATCAAGGAGGCGGCAACATCTTCGTCATTGAGGTGTTGTCCTTGCAAAGGTTTCCGGAGAGATATTGTTGCCGTCCTTGGAAACTGTGCTTATAGGAGAAGGCACATCCAAGATGAGATCAGAGATAAAAAATGGGATCCTTTTACTGCTACAACAGTGTGTTACAGATGATGATAATCCTTTCTCAAGAGCGTGCGAAACCTATTGGAAGGAAGTGCAGAAAACCAAGGAGCTATTGCTGATTTAGAGCTTCAAGGAACTGCAGATGTTCCGGAGCTTGCTCGACTTGGGATTCAAGTAGAAGTTGACCCCAAAACTAGACGTGCAAAGCTAATAAATGTCGCGTGAACTGATTCACATGTTCAGGAACGTGCCATAAAAGGTACAATGCATGATTTCATCTTATGTTATGTTACCTAGTCATAGAAGAAGAAAAATCGATACAAAATGCCTTCGGGAGGATTTTTAATTTATTGCTGTGTATTAGTAGCCAATATAGAACCAAAAGATCTCTGTCTAGAGTGTAGTATAGGTGCTAGTATTTATGTTCTCTTAAGGTTTACAGGTCTTCCCTAATGTAATTTGTTTTCTNCGGGCATTCAATTGTTTATGTGTCAAGTTGGGGGTGATAAGTGGAGTAATAGAAAACTGAAAGCAACTAGAACAATAATTTCGCAAAGCTCCAATATTTTAATGTTTGGATGGTTGTTACCCATTGTGTGTATTGTTATCCCAAAATAATGTTTGTGTTGATTGTTTAGTTAAAATTGGTTGTATTATATTATTAAAATTTATTATTCCGAAACAATGAAAAGCCCTACTTTTTAAAAAAATCGATTTAGTGTGATGGGATTGTTTCCGATTTTTTTTCCAATTATGCCTAACTTATTACTCCAACCTATTACCTACATTTGGTCTTTTTTTTTTCTTCTGCCGCTTCCAACCCAACGTCAGGTATAGGTTTTGCCTTCTTTTTGTTTCATTCTTTCTTCTGCTTTGATTTTAAATTTCAATCTATTTACTTTATCTTCAATTAGCTGTATAATTCTTGATTAATTAAATATTTAAAATAATTGAAGGTATTTTAGTAAACTTATCAGTTATAGTACAATACAATACAGTCAAATCAAACAGCAAAATATTATTTAACAACAGCAAACAATATAATTTATCCAAATATTGTATTCATAAAATCGATATAATACAATATAGTACAATAAGATACATTATAAAACGATGGGTAACAATGATCCAAAGAGAGTGTTAAGTATTCATTAGCTGCAACTCTGAAGTAATAAATGGAGATACACCTCTATTTCTAAAACCAACACTAAATATCCATGTACGAAGGAAATACTAAGCAACATTAACACCATTAGTTGAAATCTCTTATTTCAAATATATCTGAGTACCATAGGCATATTTACAGGAAATCATCTTGCATTTGAGTTGGATAAGAAGTCTTTAATGTAATTAATTGTTTGAAATGACAACAGTATGATAGTTTTTTCAATAGATCTCATGCTTAAAATGATATTAGTTCATATCTTTCTAGTTTAAAATGGCACTAATTTAGACGTTCATTCAACAGCCCTGTAGAGGGAATATACCGGGGAGTTGATCTCTGTAGTTGTTTCTTACTGGTTCAAAATTAGCTCCCAAATTACAGTGGGAAATTAAAATTTGGCAGAGGTAAAGAAAATGTGAGAAGGGTTATTTTCCATGTATTATAAGTGATCCATTTAAAAAGCAAAAGGGATCACTAACGCCAAATATTGGATTAGTGGAATATAAAATGCTTATGGTACTCATATATATTTGAAATAAGATATTTTAACGGATCATTAACGGTGTTATTATAGGCTTGAAATAAGAGACTTTAATAGATCACTAAGGGTCGTTTGGTTTGAATATGGCTTATAAGTTATGCTGGGATAAGTTATTATGGAATGTGTTATGCTGAGATTGTTTTTTATCCACTGTTTGGTATGTTGTATTAAAAATGACAATTGCATAATTTCTAAGAAGAAGGTATAAGTTATCCCGGTGCTAATTACCCACCCTCTGTAAAGTATAAGTTATGCCGGTGTTAATTTTAATCCCGGGATAACTTATACCTGATTTTCTAACCAAACAAAGTATTAATGTGGTATTAAATTTTTATATCAGCATGATACCTTCTTATACCTCATACCAAACGACCACTAACAGTGTTAATGTTTGTATAGGGTATAAAAACAATAACAACAACAACAAGCCCAGTGAAATCTCACAAGTGGGGGTTTGGGGAGGATAAATTGTACGCAGACCTTACCACTACCTAATGAAGGTAGAGAGGTTGTTTCTAAAAGAACTTCAGGTCAAAAGAAGTGAAAATGAAGTAATAAATAAACAGTAGCAACAACCAAGTTAGTAGACATGAGAACAAATGAAGATACGTTCAACAACAAATATCTAAGAATACGACACTATAAAAATAATTCAGTCTTGCGGGAAATAATGACACAATATGAAATAGCAAGGGTTATGCATAGAAAAATACAAGACTAGAACTAATACTACTGGGATGCCTAGATGAAATTCTAAATTATTTGTCAACCCACGACCCTAATCCTCGACTTGGCTATGCTTATAAGTGTTATTTAAAAATTTGAAATTGAATGATATTATAAGGGGGTTTTAGCATAATGTAACCTATATATTAAAGCTTATCTCGGCAGGCCAGCTGGTTTATTTGTTTTTTGCTTTTTTTATTGTGTCCTGGTGTTTTTT